CTTCTCTTATAGATCATTTTTGCCAATTTAGAAACAATTTTCCATTGAAAACAAGGAAGAAAATGAAAAGAAAGAAAAACTTTTATCGCTCTCCACCCCCACCCCAGCCACAGATTCATTCCTGCCTAGGGGACCTTCTTAGCCTTCCCTTCTCTCTCTCTGAATCTCCCACACATTTTTTGCGGGGTGGGTGGGTACTTGGGATTTAATCCAGGGGCATTTAACCACTGAGCCATGTCCCCAGCCCTTTTTATGTTTTATTTTGAGACAGGGTTTTACTAAGTGGCTGAGGCTGATTTTGAACCTGTGGTCCTCCTGCCTCAGTCTCCTGTAGCTGGAGTTAACAGGCATGCACCATCATACCTGGCAGACAAATATTTCTCCCTGTGTCAATTGAGAGGATTCTTATTTCTTTTTCTTTTTCTTTCTTTCTTTCTTTTCTTTTTTTTTTTTTTTTGCTTTATTCCATAGATATGGTTAATCAATGAAATTGTTATTCAAATTCGAAAGGAGATTTGCATTCCAGGTTTAGTCCAAGTGTTAAGCCAATCTTGCAGGGGCTGGGGATGTGGCTCAAGTGGTAATGTGCTGGCCTGTCATGTGTGCGGCCCGGGTTCGATCCTCAACACCACATACAAAACAAAGATGTTGTGTCCGTTGAAAACTAAAAATAAATAAATAAATAAATAAATATTAAAATTCTCTCTCTCTCAAAAAAAAAGTTTACTTATTAAAAAAAAAATCTTGCATTCCTGATGGATTTTCAACGCCTAACCAATCTTGCCTGGTCTTGGTCTGTATATTGCCAGAGGTAATTTCTTTCTCCCCCCTTCCTTCCTTCCTTTCTCCTCCCCTACATTCCATTTCTTTCTTTTTTCTCCTTTCTTTTCCTTCCCCTCCCTTTCTTTCTTCCTTCCTTCCCTATATCTCTCCCTCCTTTCCTCCCTTCTTTCCTTTTCCCCTGTATGAAGGATTGAACTCAGGAGTCCTCTGTCACCAAGCTACATCTCTGTCCTTTTTATCTTTTCTTGTTTTATTCTGAGACAGGGACTCACTAAGCTGCTGAGGCTATCCTAGATCTTGCCATCTCCTGCCAGCTTGTCTGAGTTGCTGGGGTTACAGGGGTGAGCCATCTTGCCTGACTGTCAAAGGCAAATTTACCCAGACCTCAAAGTCAGAAAAAAAAAAAACTTGAACTTGACTTAAGAAGTTCTGCCAATACCAGAAACCTGCACTGGGACCCTCAGGCTTGTCTCAGGGCTGGCAGGCTCCCAACAAAAAATCCGAATGTGAATCTGAAGATTCTTCTGGAATCTGTAAAGTCCCCTAACTTACCACTTTCCCCAGAACTAACACAAGTGAAAGATTTAGTGCTTGAACCTCAGCTTTCTTCTTCAGTAATAAATAAAACTAGTGCCAGAGATTTTCTCTCTCTCTGGAGATAGCCTGCACTCTGCCTTTGTTATGCTCAAATTCAGGACCCCCAAAAGACCACCAGAGTCCAAGATCCATGTAAACAGCAAAGAGGTGTTTATTGCGAGATAGCTTGGTCCACCGCATTCACACAGCAACTGCTGTGGCCGAGAGGCCTTGAGCCCAGGGTTTGCAGCAGTTTTATACATTCTTTGGAGAAGGCAGGGACCCCCACATACATCATAGCATCTCTTAGCAAATCATCACACACCCTGGGAAAATTAAACAACAACTCTAAAACATGATTAGCACATTCACTGGCAGGAACAAGTTGGGTAGGTGTGACTGGTTACTACCAGAGGGAGTTTCATTTGAATTGATTGGTTTAAGCCAAGAGGGGTGTTCATGCTGAATTACATGGTTTCCCAACACCATAAACCACTGGGAGGGTCATGTGGCATCCCAGGTATTTCCTTGTCTCATGGTGATTGGTGGCTGCTAGGGGGTTGCTATGGGTCCCCACCTAGCCTGACTGAATCAGGGACACCTGGAACAGCAGATCTCTCCTGTTATTTGTAGATAAACAACTTAGCAGGGTGGGAATGTGCCTAGGAATGCTTTGTGGATCTTTCCAAGGACAAAGGTCATGTCCCTTCCTTGGACAGGCTTTGCTCTGAGGTAGAGGCTGTTTTTTTTCACCTTGAGTGAGTATTCCTTGCCTTACCTTAAAGGCATCTTCCTTGAGATTGCACCATTCTCCCTAGAATTTGTATCTACTTTACCAAATAAACCTCTCTCTGTGGCTTAGAAAAAAACAGTGTCAGAGCCAACTGTGGTGGCAGATACCTATAACACTGGCCACCGGACGACGGAGGCTGAGGAAGGAGGATTGCAAATTCAAGGCTGATCTCACCAATTTATCATGGCCCTTAGCAATTTGGCCAGAACTTGTCTCAAAATAAATGAAAGGACTGGGGAGGTAGTTAAGTGGTAAAGCATCACAGAGTTCCTTCACCAGCATTTAAAAAGGGTGGGGAGGGGCTGGGGATGTGGCTGAAGTGGTAGCACACTTGCATGCGGCCCAGTTTGATCCTCAGAACCACATACAAACAAAGATGTTGTGTCCACTGAAAACTAAAAATATAAATATTAAAAAAATCCCCCCCTCTCTCTCTCCCTCTCTCTCCCCCCCCCTCTCTCTTTAATAAAAAAATAAATAAAAATATAAAAGGGTGGGGAGAACGAAGATGGTGGGCCAGAGGGAGGCAGCCTTCTGTGTTGGTCCGTGATCCAGATCTCACCTAGTTGGAATACTGCATCACAGAGAGTGTTCGAGGACTCCTAAACAGCTGCTTTCCACAGAAATCACCAGCACTGTGACCCCGCACAGGGCTCCTGGCCTCAGCATTGGAGCAGGAATGAATAAAAAAAATTTTTAAAAAAGTGGCCTATAGAATAAAATCATGGCATTTGCAGGTAAATGGACAGCAGTGGAGAAGATAATGCTAAGTGAAGTTAGCCAATCCCCCCCAAAAATGCCATTCTAATGTTTTCTGTGATATAAGGTGAGGGACTCATAGTGGGGTAGGGAGCGGGAGTTTGGGAGGAATAGATCGACTCTAGATAGGGCAGAGGGGTGGGAGAGGAAGGAAGGGAAAGGGATGGGGCAGGGGATTAGCAAGGATGGTGAAATGTGATAGGTATCATTATCCAAAGTACATGTATGAAGACACAAATTGGCATGAGCATAATTTATATACAACCAGAGATATGAAAAATTGTGCTCTATATGTGTAATAAGAATTGTAATGCATTCTGCTGTCATTTATTTTTAATAAGTCAATGAAAATAAAATAAATAAAAGTGTGGGGTCTGGAGAGGCAGAGCCAAACTAAAACACCCTGGTTTCAAATGCCAGTACCACAAGTAAGTAAATAAATAAATCTAGTTATCATAGAGTTTTAAAAAGTAGTTACTGTCATATAATATATGTTAAAAACAGCTTTTGCCAGGTGCTGTGTCTTATGCCTATAATCCCAGCAATTTGGGAGGCTGAGGCAGGAGGATCACAAGTTCAATGCCAGCCTCAGTAATTTCTCAAGGCTCTCAGCAACTTAGTGAGATCCTGTCTCAAAATAAAAAATAAAAAGGGCTAGGGATGTAGCTCAGTGGTAAAGCAGCCCTGGGTTCAAACTCCAGTACCAAAAATAAATAAACAATGGTTTGTGTGGGTCTTGGTGGCGAATGCCTATAATCCCAACTACAGAGGCTAGGGCAGGAGGATCTCGAATTCAAAGCCAGCCTCAACAAAAGTGAGACACAAAGCAACTCAGTGAAACCCTGTCTCTAAATAAAATACAAAATAGGGCAGGGGATGGGGCTCAGTGGCTGAGTGTCCCTGAGTTTAATCCTCAGTAGCCCCACCCCTGGAAAAAAAAAACAGGCCAGTTTGGGCAAGTCAGTGAGATCTTGTCTCAAAATAAAAACTGAGGAGCTGGGGATGTGGCTCAAGCGGTAGCACACTCGCCTGGCATGCATGCGGACCGGGTTCGATCCTCAGCACCTTGTACAAAACAAAGATGTTGTGTCCACCGATAACTTAAAAAAATAATAATAAAATAAAATAAAAATAAAAACTGAGAAGTGCTGGGGATGTGACTCGGTGTTAGAACACCCTGAGCTTCAGTCCCCGGTGGTGCAAACAACCAATCAGAACCAAACAAAGATGAAACCAATTTGTTCTTATATTGTATTTTATGAAGTTGTTTTTAAAAGCTGAAACAGTAGTGAATATGTGAGAGAAGGCTTGAGACTCTCAGGAGCAATTATCATACACCTTTCTCACTGTTTTAGTACTTAGAGCCAGTATCGCTGGTTGGGGAGGGTTTTTTCCTTCCTTTCTTTTTTTTTTTGCTAAAATGTTTCATATCCAATGTACCTGAGCTTGCCTCCTGTTTGCCCTGCTTCCAGAATGTTTTCAGCTGAAGTCTTCAATCTCCCCTTAGGAGGGCAAAACCTGCTAGGGAGATCTAGATGAGCTGCACAGGGGAAGCTGCCTGTGATCGCAGCATCTGGGGACATGGCACCCTGTGTGTGAAGACGAGTTCACTGTGGAAAGACATTGGTCTTCAAAAGCAGGCGGGAAGGGGAGGGTGGGGGACAGAGGGGTCCAGGGGGTAGGAATGATGGTGGAATGAGTCAGACACCATTACTCCAAGTACATGTATAAGACACGAATGGTGTGAAAATACTCTGTGTACAATCAGTATCTTGAAAAATTGTGCTTTATATGTGTAATATGGAATGACTGCATTCTTCCATTGTGTATAACAAAATATAACAAACAGAATAAAAAATAATAAAATAAATGAACTAGGAGAAGCAGTGTGAAACTCAGAGCCTGGGACTGGTGGTGCTAGAAGTTGGCCACACAAAGTTCTGCGGCTCCAGCAGATTTTTCTCGAGGGCAGGCAGGAGGGAGGGTTGGAGGCCCAAAGCCGGTGGTTCCCATCTTGATAACTTCCCCACTAAGAAAACCATCAGGCAATGGGCAGATGCAGGCCTGCATTGGCTTCAGTCAAAGAAGGGAGGCCTGGGACATGCGAACTACCAAGTTATCACTGCAAGCTCTTAAGAGGTATATGTCACTGACTTGAAGTACCCCATATTCTCACTCTCACTCACATCTGGGACCTACTGGAGGAGGGCAGGCCTCCAGAACCCCAGGAAGGAACACACCTTCAGGGATGGGCATGACGCTGAGGAGCTTGAGGTGAAGGCTGGGAACAGGTATCTTCCAGATGTCCTTGCTCAGCCTGCGCACTGGGGGCAGGGTGAAGGTAATCTCATACCTGTGCAGGATCTTCAGGAAGCCAACCTTGACCAGAAAGCTGATGTCACCCTCCTGGGTGACCATGACCACTGAGTCATGTAGCTTCTCACCAAAGTGGACATGGCTCTGGGAGCCTTTGACATCATGGCCTGCTACAAAGCGGATACTCCAGACTCTGGGCTTATTGCCCTTATTGGCTGCAGCCATGGACGCCCTCCCTGCCACCGAGTGAAACACACAGCTCCTGCTGTATACCTCCGCTCCAGCTCAGCAGCCTCCCATGCTCCAGGGACACAAGCAGGAACCTTGTAAGTGCACTTCTGGGATGGGCCAGGCAGGGACAACCACGGTGGTGGCTGTGGTGGCTGCGGTGGTGACAGCAGCAGGTGGTGGCTGCAGCCGGGCCACAACGCTAAGCACCAGGAAGAGAGCCCTGCGCCACTGCCCCCGCCTCCTGACTGATATTTCTTTATGACTAGACTCAGGTTAAGTATGTACAACTGACTGAAATTCTATAAAATCAATTAAAAAAAAAACAGACTCAGGGAAAACAGCAGGAGCAGCAGAGGCTGCAGCTCTGCAGAGGAAAATAAATGCTTCCAAGGAACTTGCAGCAGGAGCTCTGTGCCGCCTTGCAGGACTCCCCTGTGGCTAAGCCTCTGGTGGACAATGTGGGCTGGCACTGGGAAGGTCCACACGGGTTGCCCGGGGACTGGGGTGCACTAGAGATTCCCAGAACTGGCAGTAAAGTGGATGCCAGCCCCAGAGGCTGACCAGGTATTTTCTGTATTTCACACAGAACATAAATTATGACAAGGACCCATAGTTCCTGAGCATTTTAACAATATTTTGGACTCTCTTCCAGCAGTGTGATCTGAGGTGAATAAATTGGGCTCAGTATTAGTTCTTGCTTTATTTTATTTTATTCTATTCACAGAAAAAAACTTGTACCCTAATTGATGAAAAGTGATGTTTTCCTGTTAACAAAGCACTACCATGCTCAATTTTCTTTTCTTTTTTTTCTAAATCGAACTCAGGGGCATTCAACAACTGAGCCACATCCCGAGCCCTATTTTGTATTTTATTTAGAGACAGGGTCTCACTGAGTTGCTTAGCGCAGCAGCATCCTTGCTGTTGCTAAGGATGGCTTTGAACCCAAGATCCTCCCGCCTCAGCCTCCTGAGCTGCTGGGATTACAGGTGTGTGCCACAATGCTCAGCTTTTATTTTTTATTTTAAGACAGGGTCTTTCTAAGTTGCTGAGGGCCTTGTTAAGTTGCTGAGGCTGCCCATGAACTTGTGATCCTCTTGTCTCAGCCTCTCCTATCTCTGTGAAAACAGGCGTGTGCCACCATACCTGGCATCACCCCAAATTTAAACACTTTGAAGAACAAACAAAGGAATATGCGTGCATGTATGTGATGTATATATTTTATATCAATGTTTTATTACTGGATTTTGGTGTCACGGTTTGGATAGGATGTATTCTCCCAAAGGTTCAAGTGTTAATGCAAGGGGTGAGACAATTGGGTTATAAGATCCATAATCAGTACATTCATCTATTTAATGGATTTGATAGGACTACATACTGGTGATAAACTCTAGGCAGGTGAGGTGTGGCTGGAGAAAATAGGTCCCTGTGGGTGTGTCTTTGGGTTTAACTTTTGCAACCAAAGTCTTGGTCCCCATCCTCCATGCTGATCCAATAGCAATGACAAGATATTTAGAAAAAAGAAAAAGGTATATTGTTTTGCGAGCAAAGAAGAAACACAAGGACTAGTATCCCAAAGCCTGTGCTTCTGCCTATCCTCAAAAACAGGGGGCTTTTATAGAGATGATACAAGAAAATGGGATTAGGAAGGAGAGATCAGGAAGGAGATCAGGGAGATCATGAAAGAGAAGGTTAGAGAAAAGAAGAGGCAGGGGAGGGGGGAGAAACATGTAAGTTTCAAAGCCACAAGGGATATAGTGAAAGCATCCTGTGAACCCCTGTTAAAGTTTCTTGGCACCTTGCCCACCACCTCCAGGCTGCCCTGTACTGATCAGCTTTTCTGAGGCTCTGTTTGGTCATGTTCTTCTGCCTCTTGAGCAATGGAGCTGGCTGTCCGTGGAATGAACCTCTGAAACAAGGAACCCCAAATAAACTTCCTCTAAGTTCAGCAACCAAAAGTTCTGATTTTCATTTTGGGGGTCCAATGGGATCTAACCCAAGGCGATATGTGGGCTCAGTAATCTCCTATATCACTGAGCTACTACCCTCAGCACAGCTCCTAAGCTATAGCTATATCTAGATTTACATCTGTGCATGTCCACATATGTATATAGTTTTGTGTGTGCATGTGTGGTACAGGGAATTGAACCCAGGGTCTCACATGCTTGGCAAGCTCGCTACCACTGAACCACATCTTGAGCCTCAGACAAGGTCTTGCTCAGTTTCCCAGTCTGCCCTCGAACTTGAGGTTCTCATTTTTTAAAAAACTATATATATATTTTTTTGGTAATGGGGATTGAACTCAGGGTGCTTTAACACTTAGCATTTGAACTCAGGGTACTTTACCTCTTGAGCAATTCCAGCCCTTTTAATTTTATATTCTGATTGGATCTCTCACGAGGGCCTTGGATCTTGTTAAGTTGCTGAGGCTAGACTTGAACTTGTAGTCCAACCACCTCAGTGTCTCAAGTTGCTAGAATTACAAGCTTGTGCCACCAGGCTGGGTATTGGCCCTGTGACATTTCTATTCTCTTTAAGGGGGTCCTAAGTGAGGTTTAGGTTTGGGATGTGGATCAGTGGTAAGGCAATTACCTGGCATGCATTCAGCCCTTGGTTCACGCCCCAGGATCTCAAAAGTGAGGATGAGTCACCTGTCCTAGGGGGACTGGTGAGCCTTCAGACTCCTTGATAACCAGTGGGATTAGAGTTGGGAGGACCAGAGGTGGAAACTGGATACTGGGGATTTGATCCCCACCACCGAAGTGCTATGGCTTACCAGGATTTGGACCTCGGCTTGTTGAGAAGGGTTTTTTCAGGCTTGGCCTGAAAGGGTGCCTCTGTTCCCTGCAGATTCAACAGGATGAGCTTCCAGACCGTACTCACACTCCAGGATCTGGTGATACAGAATGTACTATGCAAAAAGGACTTGCCCATTCCCAATCTGGAGTACCTGCCCAGGGTGCTCATCCTGCAGTTGTACAAAGAGGTTATAATGGGGTGTCACAAGGAGATGCTAAAGAAGATGGTGCTGTCCTGTCCCTTGGCTTGTCTGTATGTAGACTATCTGGTGAAGACAGGAGATCTGATGGCCTTAAGAACTCTACTGTATGGGCTAAGCTCGCTGATTTTCAATAACGTTCACCCCAGGTGAGGGGGGCCCAGAAAGAGACATCTGGGGGAGGCAGGGCAGGGTGAAGGGTGGAACAGGTGGTGCCAGGGAGGAGGCTGCCCTGCCCCCTCCACAGGAAGGGTCTCTGGCTGGATTCAAGGAGAAAGGACATGGAGAAAAATAGGAGAGCAGAGGAGCAACCGCCCAGAACAAGGAGTTCACTGGGGTCTAATGCACAGATTGGAAGTTGGCGGGTCTTTGTCTATTTTTCCAGCATCCTTCCCGTTTTTTCCATAGGAAATGGAAGCTGAAAGCAATCGATTTCCGATTGAATCAGGACTGCCCCAATGAGTGGTCCAGAGCCCCGCTGGGCACCTGCTCACAAGAGGCCACGTCTCCAAAGGAAAGAGAGAAATGCAGCCAAAGAGCAGCGAAGCCACACTTGAAGATTTTCATAGAATTCTGTCCGGGCAAAGTCTTCCGAAGATTCCTTGGCATCCTCACTGAGTGGGTGGGGGAAGCAAGGAGGGTGGTCCATATATACTGCAAGAAGCTCCAGGTCGATTGTTTCTGCTCAGACTATCAAATCCGGAGGACTGTGTCCTTTTACTACCTGCGGGAACTGGAGGTGAATGCTGACCACTGGAGTTGGAAAATAATGGAAAAATTTTGTTTTATCCTGATCAAGATGAGGAACCTTTGCATCCTCCATCTCTCCAAAATGAGCCCTCAGGTCTTCAGCAGGCGCTCCATAAACAGGTGGTATTTCCATAGATACAGCCTTCAACTGCGGAAGGTGAACAAACTCCGTGAGCTCTACGTGAACAATGTCTTCTTCCTCTACTGAGCGCTGCACAAAATCCTCCTATAAGCATGAGGGGTTTGTATTGCTGCAAAAGCCATTTTTGCTTACTGAGCAGTTAAAGGGCTTGTGCTCCGGCCACTGGCCATGTCAGGGAAGGAGATGCTGGAGAATGACTGGTTGCCTTCGGTTTTTGTTCCCTTGGTCGTTCTTGAGGATGGTTTTCTTCCCCCCCCCCCCGGATGCGAGGGGTTAACTTGGGTTGCTTGTTTTGGGAGTTGCCCTCTTGTTGGGAGGCCGGTTGGGGGGGCCAGGGGTTGTTGGGGTTGGTTGGGTTTCTTTTCTTGGGGGGCTTTTCCGTTGAGGGAGTTGGGGGTTGTGTTGGGGGGGGGGTGGTTGGAGGGGGGAGGCCCCCCCCCTTGCGCTTTGCAACAGGGAAGCTCTGTGCTCTCCATTGGGGAGCAGAGGAGCTGCCCCCAATTCCCCCCTGGGGAAGGCTGGTCTGAGCCTCAGGTGGTGATTCTGGAGTTGAGGGTGAGGAGCAGGGATGGAGGGTACAGGGTGTGAGCCCCACAGGTGGACAACTCAGGTGGTTTTCCTTCATCTTGCCTGGGTTTGTCCTTTGTACATGACTCCCCCTGGCCTCCTGTGGCCAGAGCTGTGGCCTTCTTCTTGGCAGTTAGGGGAGGAGCCTTAGAGATGATGGACCTATCTGGTCACTCACCTGGTGGTGAAAGGCTCACCCTGAAAAAGGTTGATGTGTATGAGCAGATTTTGCAACCTGCAGTGTCCTGGGGGTCCACCATCATCAGAAGGTCAGGTCGACCTTGGGTTTGGGTTTAGACAGTTCTTACCTACCATTTGCCACTATATCCACTTGGTGCCTTCATTCTCCAGAAGTAACTCTTTGTTTTCTCTCCAGGAGTCAGACCCCCTTGAAAACACTTTCGCCGAGAGGTTGACCACTCAAGGAGAAGGATTTAAGGCATCTGTCCATGTGTCTGAGCACTGATCAACTGAAGTCTCTGGATCTCAGCTCTTTTTCCATGAAAGATATGAGTCCTGAGCCTCTCTGGGTCTAGCTGAAAAAGGTGGCACACACCCTTGAGACCCTGGCCTTAGAGTTTTCTGAGATAATAGAGTTCCAGCTAAATGCCATCTCACCAGCCCTGGGTCACTGTTCCCAGCTCAAAACCTTCAGTTTCTGTGGGAACCAAATCCCCCTGATTGCTCTTAAGAACCTGCTGAGCCACACTGCTAGCCTGCCACTGGAACAAGCAAAGTACC